AAATCACGGTAAGAAATTTCGCAAATCATTTGTTTTAATTGACATGTATGACAATGTTGTAAACAAGGCGGAGTGACATCTTCTCTTCATGCAATGTAATGCGTCGACGCCCTTTCAGGGGTCTTCCCCCTAATTTTATTACAGCTTTGGTTATTGCTCTCCCGAGGTATACAAGTCATCTACGTTTAGGGTATATATTGCTACGTGCCAGTGCATGGAGATGAAGAAGACAAATCATATAGAATGGCGCGAGCTAATCTCCAAGGCTTGCGCGGCTCGCTTAACCGGCTGTAAATTCATCTGTGACTACCCCTCCGAGTCGGTCTCCTTCTCGTAACAGTATTAAGAAAAGCCCCGCCGAGGTGGTCTAGTGACTAAGGTACTCGGCTTCTGGCCTGCAGGTCGCGGGATGGAATACCGGCTGCGGCGGCTGAATTTTCAATGGAGGCGGAAACCTTGTAGGCCCATGTGCTAAGATTTGGGTGCGCGTTAAAGAACCCCAGGTGGTCGAAATTTCCAGAGCCCTCAACTACGGCGTCTTTCATAACGATATGGTGATTTTGGAACGCTAAACCCCACATAGCAATCAATTATTCGAATTTCTAGTACGACTTTGGCTATATCTCAAGCAAGGTATTTAAGTCTTGCGCGTTTAGAGCACATATGAAGAAAAGCCACGCCGAGGTGTTTTAGTGGCTATGGTAATCGGAGGCTGGCGCGCAGGTCGTAAGATCGAATTTCCGCTGCAACGGTTGCATTTCCGATGGAGGCGGAAATGCCGTAGGTTCACGTGCTCAGATTTAGGCGCACGTTAAAGAAACCCAGGTGGTAGAAATTTCCGCAGCCCACCTATACGGCATCTCTCATAATCATATGGTGTCTTGGGATGCTAAACCCCACATATTAACATCAAGAAAAAGAAGTGAATAATAAGAACAAAGCGACGAGTGTAGATCGAGAGGATGTTGTCAAAAATTTATAAACTCTCAATGTTTTACTATATATTGTTCAATTACCTAATTAGGATGTAGAACCGAGAATGTCGCCTTTATAAGTCTGTTAATCATGGTGTGAAGATAAAAAATGACAATGAGGGTTATTTTGCTGTCCGGAGGCAAGAAGTTGATTTCGCAGTAGATGCTTCAAATGCTTAGTTAGAGATATTTTTGCGAATACAAACGTAATCAGCACTCTGCCTTTTGTATCATATGTATTGTCGGCGAGGATGATCTTATACTTCGATACATTTCAGCTTCAACATTTTACAGCGTATTGTGAAGGACTTCGAGCAGCACATATTCAAGGTCTAATTATGGCGGGCGAAACAAAAATCCGGTGACAATTCACTCTATAACCCCTATATTATAATGAAACCAGTTTTAAGGGTGCTTTCAACAGTCAGTTCGCGATATCTTAGAGAACGCATATATGAATACGGTCACTTTTTTCGTAAATGTTATTGCGTCGTTATAAAAAGAAATATTAATGTTGAAGCTAAAAAAAGAATATGCTGTTTTGAACAAAACCGCATGCTCTCACCTATATTGCACACGTTTCTTGTCATCCAGAGATGAATTCTCCGGAATGTTACAAACAAGTACAAAAGTTTAATAGAGGCGAAAGGCAGACTTTAAGGCTATAACTCTTAGCCTTGCAAAGTTTGAGCCAGGCACTGCTTTGCAGGCAGCCACTGCCAGTCTCTGCAGAACATTGAGCCTCTTAGCCGTTCAATGTAAGATACTGAAACAAAACTTTGGTGCATAAATATTTAACCGCGTCGAACGTAACCTAGAGCAACCAATACAGAGACTACGCTGGCGTTATCCATTGGAAGAACGTTGCAAATACGGTAGCTGTTATTCTCTAATAGGCGAGCTTATGACAACAAGCTGTAAGTGAAATACTTCAAAGATGCGGAAAATGATTGTGAATGTAGCTGTAAGTCACCAATCAGTTGCCAAACTTTTTAAGCCACAAACAATTCATACTCCTTACAATTAGCATGGTACTGAATTACGTGTATATATCGCCTTAGATATAAAATGTAGAGCAAAGATTGTTGGAAGCTTGAAATTACTGTAATTTCTACTCGGCTTTCTTTCATCTGACGAGAATTTATAGAGCAACTCAACACTTGCAAAGCACACCTCAAGCAGAAAACACGTACGAAATTAGCACCCACTTGAGAAGTGCAGACTAACACGTGTTACATCTCGGCACTTAAAACGCTCTGTTCAAAAAGAAAGAAAGAGTCATGCAATGAGCGTTCACATATACACAAGGCACGTGTGAACGACTGTCACATTTCTCACTTCGTCATGTGTGAGTAGCGCCCTCCTTTCGTAAACCAGGCCACCACAGCGAGAGCAGTGACCTTCGTTTACTCCCTAATCACGAGTCTGATGAACGTGTGGCACAGGAGAGACCACGCTCAGGGGAGGAGAAAACCTATAGAGTGCGGGCAATGCCAGCTCGTCCGGCCTTATCGTTACTGATAAAGAAAACACGATATGGTTCCCACACTCCGAGTACCCGAACAGTGTATGGTGTCTATGAATAGCTTACCGTTATCATACTTGACAACGTTTGCTCTGTAGCATTGTGGTTAGCACCACTAGCATCAAACCAGGATGTTGCTGGATCTACGCCACGTTACAGAATCTTTCCTTCTCGTTTTTAAAGACGATAGTCTTTCTTGGGGATCTTCCACGTAAACATTTTGGTCTGTCTGTCTGTCTGTCTGTCTGTCTGTCTGTCTGTCTGTCTGTCTGTCTGTCTGTTTGTCTGTCTGTCTGTCTGTCTGTCTGTCTGTGAAATTGTCTGTTTGTTCACTCCGAACGACACTGAGTACTTGAAACAGCTGACCCTATCCGCAGAGCCCACCAACATTGCACAAAATTTAGCGTTCATACTTGTGCAATGGTCAATTAATAAGCAATTATTGCGCATGTCTGGGGTACCATAACAACACGTGTATGATCTGCATGAGCGTTTTTAAAAGAAACACCAAACATAAGTAATTTTAGGGACCATAGCGCTTATCACGCTGCGCTGACCATGCAACGCTCACAAAAAGGCGATTGTTTCCACCGTTTTGCTAAGACGAGACGGTGGTGGCACCTAGCCGTCACTTTGCATTCCACGCCTTATCACCTCTGAGCCGGGCGCGCACACCCGTCTCGGAGCCACGCGCTTGTTTTTCCAAGAAAACTGCCAGATGGCGCTCATGTCTCACGTGTGAGGTGACGATGTGTTCGTTGCCTACACTTTAACGAAGCGCCTCCAGAGCACCACTCACCGATTGCGCAGAACATCAAATACAGGCTTTGTTCACTCTCTCCACACACAAGACTATCGTCTTGCGACAACATTTGCAGTATAACATGCAGATACGGGGCCAATGTTTTCGTAACCTGTTAGTATATATTTTTCTACGTCATATTCGTGACGGAAATACGTCAGCAGAGCTGTGGCGGACCTCGACATAAAACCATTTGCGGTAAAAATTACGTTCTACCGGCTTACTTTCAGTACAACGCCAATTGTGATAGCCGTGGTGGCTGTCGTACTTTGTAATCAAGCAAGTAATATCGCACAACTACTCCTGTGAACATACTCCGAGTTAACGCTAATTACGCTTCAGTGCTGTCTCCGCTTTTATAGCAGTCTAATCAACGCTATGTTTTCATTCTTCTGATTCAGGGAGTGATAATCACGCGTTGCTCTTCCCTGGCGGAACAAGCTAGAAAGTTTCGTGGGATATTCCCATCATCGCATCGTAGAGTACACTTTCTTTACTTGATAAACTTACAACGTGCACAGAGCTGCTATATGAACAAAAACACGTGAAACCACCCCATATCACTTGACTCAAAGCACCTCCCTCGCAAAAAAACTTCATCATCAACATTCACTCGCCAATATCTTTCCGTAAAACTTATTCCAACAAGGCATGTAATCTGCTGAATTTTTTTACAAAGCAGTCACAAAAACTGCGTGACATTGTGATGGAATACATCGCTGCCACGCAGAATGCATAACTTTGTTTGCTACTGAGACCCTGGTTGTTTTCTGAGATTCGTCACATCAACAATGCCGAATAAGCTTTTCTTAACCCTCCTGTGTTACAACGGTCACTTCTCAATGCTTCTGAGTAGATATAAACTGTCAATCTTCTGTGCTGCACTCCGCTTACCACGCCCCTTATGGTGTACGTGTATCTGCCACGCAAAACAGGAGGAAAACTTCTCATGACAAACACAATTTTTCATTCAATTTATATAATTACAAAACTTCATATTCTTCATACCTTCACTCCCTCTTGCACTAATATCTGTCAATAACAAGTCATGAAAGAGACCCCTACGCTACCCAGACTAACCGGATAGATAGATAGATAGATAGATAGATAGATAGATAGATAGATAGATAGATAGATAGATAGATAGATAGATAGATAGATAGATAGATAGATAGATAGATAGATAGAAAGAAAGAAACCTCCATTGCGTCTTTCGTTCTCCCAGAAATACTTGGCGTTTAAAACTAAGAAAACACGCAGAGAATTCACTTGTCACATAAAAAGGCGTATTTGGTATTGCTTCATTCCCAGCTACATTTCATGGTTGTACGCAAATACTAACTATGATTTATTCCAGGACACGTGCAGTCATAAAATCTTTTTGAACAACACATGTCTAATAACACACGAAGCCAAGTTTCTGAAAGAGTGGTTGATAATTTTCTACCCAGCAAAAGAAATATGTGCTACTAGTCATTCTCTAAAACGGTTGTACCCACCTGAAACATTCGTCACATCCTCTTCAAGCCACCTTTATTGGCTGAATTTTCACTGTACAGCTTCAATTATCTGATGGCAAGACACCGGCAGTTAACGTCAACATCTCTTGACAGCTGACATGTAGGTATACTCTCGCACATGTGTCCATACTTCCTGTTGAATGAAATATATAAAGGCTCACTGTACACCTAATTTGATCATCCTAACTGTTGCTCTGTGAGGACGACATTGACGAGTTTGTTCAATTAAGGTAAGTTTTTTGACTTCCATTCTCTTGGTGAAACTTACAGAAGTTAAAATCATACGGAAAAAATCATTTGCGACCCCTTAGTCTGTTTGGCGATATATTCTGTTCTGAATAAAGCATAATTTTCATGTATGTGATCCTGAAGCTGCTTTATCCAATGTTTCCAAAGATTTCACGTAGATAACGGTGAAGAATCAGGTTAGTATGATTTACATTTAACGAACCCGAAGGCACAAATTGATAAAGTTCAGGAAATAAATAACCACCTTTACCATGCACTATGTGCTTCAGTGTTCGTGCAATAGAATTCCACCTTCAATACGCCTATATTCATTGCGGACGCTCTGATACTTCGGATAAACAGATTAGCCGTGTTCAATATTATCAGTTATACAGACTATTCTTTTTGTAGTATTCGTCGAGACTAGCCAAAAAAAAAACAAGCATTGTCCATACAACATGATTCTTTAAACTAAAGACCTAGTCACAACCTGCTTTGTCAGCATGCTAGTCATTTTGAATATTGAGGCTTCCGAGAAGTGAGATGGGAGGATATACACTCTTTGTGATGTGCTTGATCCGTCTACTTAGGCCTGCGCTTCTCTTTCTTTATGCAGAACCAACGCTACAATACTTTCAAAATGAAGTTTTCCTTTGCAATCTTGATTGTAGCCTTGGCAGCAGGTACGAGTAACAATCATCGCCTTTATGAAAAAAGTGCTGGACATCGCGCTTCAATATAAGCATGTGGAATCTTTGTAGAATGATGAAGATAGTGGTTTTTCGAAACATTCCTAAATAACCATTAGTTCAACTGACTCAATTATATTTTCACTGAAAACGGCTGCATGAAATCGTACTGCGAGGCTTTTATTATATACCGGAATACCAAGAAACTTTCAGGGCGAAGAAAGCACAGACAAGTATTAATCCCTGCTAACATGTTAGCGTTTGTCACAATGACTGTAATGTTGTCTTTAACATGAGAAATATTCCTGGATTGTCTTACAAAGAAGTGGCCCTGTTGATTAGTTGGCCACAAGAAGACAACCGTTAAAGTTGGCAGGAAGGTGGTGTGACATATGTGTCTTATTTTAATTGCCTAATAGAAAATACTTGTTATCAAGTTTGATTCAGCAATTGCATAGAGTTTTGGATAGTTAAGGGGGGGGGGGTAGTTTCACTGATGGTTGCCACATTTCTTTTTGATCATCAAAGTCGCTTGAATTATGCACTTTGTTGTCGCTTTACCACCGTTCATGTTTAATCTGGGGTACCTGCAGCACTCCTGGCGGCCGTCATTGCTGCCGAAGAGATAACAGCAAGTGGGGGAGGTGGTGAGCATACAATCTTTTTTTTTTTGCTCATGACGAATGGAGTGTTATGATTACTTAATTCCCCGTACTTATAGCGAGCACTCCTTATTTGACTTCTGTAAACGACCTTCCCTAATGACACAGTCTTTAGTGCTTATAAATAAATTGTTTTACTTTTGATGAGTTGTAAACCTACCTTCGTAATACCAACAGGTTCTTAGAACACAAATGGGTATTATTATAAATATTTTTTCTAATTATTCTCGTCAGCCAAAGTGCCACAGCGCCACTATGGCTAGTTCGCAAACTGTGTACAATGTTTTTAAATAGACTGTTGAATAGTTTTAGAATCTAGAAGTGTCAACCTGTTTATCAGACCACTGCATCATTAATCTACTTCTGAATAACCTAAATTGAGTAACATTCATCACCTTACCCACAATTTTAGTCGTTGCGGTACGTTAGGTCTGAATGATTATTTTATTGCACTGTAATTAAAGCCCTCGAAAACTCTATGCACATTTTTTTAGGAACTGGCAGCGGATGCCCGGACACCTCAGCGTGCACCAAAAGCTGCAAGAAACAGGGCTACAGCATTGGAATCTGCCTTGAGCCTCTGCTTACCGTTTGTGCGTGCTTGTAATATTGAGCCAATCCGATCATTAAGTGGCAATAAAGCTTAGCACGTTTATCATGCACTCAGGTCTTGCTAAATGCTCGTCTTTTTTTTGTTCAGCACTATAGTAGGTATTTGCACAATTTATCTACCCTTGTCACCCGCTGAGGTTTTTCACGGGTGGCTAAGTTTATTGAAACCAACTAAATTACTTGCTCTGGGAATTTCGACCAGTGCGCAGAGTTACACAACAGGGTTTGCAGCCGCAGGGTTTCTCCTGATCAATCTCACTCCTTAACTATACGAGAGGCAGCCCAGTTTGTTTTCACTGACTCCTAGCCTGTGCTCGTACCGTTTATGACGACTTGCAAGGTCCTCAGCAACGACAGGTCTTTCACCTGCGTGGTGTGTAATGGCTTTCCGGGTAATGGCCTCATTTTGTGGGGTTGTTCAATTGGTATTGCATTGTTCGACATGAGCTTCGGACACATACTTACCAGCGAAGGAGCAGTTATCCTAGAGGGCTAACTAGCGGACCATGACCTATCATTCTTATCTTGATGGTACTAATTTAACATGTTAATTTTCTTAGCCAGGTGATGGGTAGTCCTTCCGTCTTAGGAGGGCAATGAGTGGGGTTTGTTCTATTTTAGTATAACTAGATACGAAGTTCTAATGGGTTATTTAGAAAAATTCTGACACTGTCATTAGTTTTCTTCAAGTAGAATTTGAGGTAACAGTATCGTGTTGAGAGACAGAGTTCAGAAAACACTTGATGTTTGGCACAGTGGCATAGAAATGACTGTGTTTTGTACAATAAAACTTCAAATACGCTATTATATCCATCAAACAGACACCTTATGATACGCACCTTGCGAGATATATTGCAATACTGGTGCACAACACCCAAATACTATTCAAGATAGTATCAAAGGTTCATGAGCGCCGGATACTGCTCAGCATACACTGGGGCGCAGAATTGTCAGCGCTTCGGATCTCCTTGTGAAAGTAACTCTATTCCAATTCACAAAATAGGAAGAAGTGCACATTCTGTGCTATGAAATTCATACAAATGATTCAGTGGCCGCTAAAAAAGCATGAAGAGTATTGTGCGGAACAGACCTATTTCTACATGTTTAGATGATCTGGCTTCGCCCGAAAAGAGCCTTTTAGCAGAGCACTGCGCATGCCGTACCACTTCAGGTCGAACATTTTTCATTTTTATTGAACTGTGCTGACAAGACTGCACGAGTCACACGAGTATCCTGCAGTTTAGAATGTTGATAACGTAACCCGCAAAAGTTACAATGGGTGAAAATTCTTACAACTTTTATAAAAGACGACCCATTCCTTTATCGATCATCAGCGATGACCGATGGTTGCGCACACCGCCATTGATGTACCACACATAATAGTTTTACCCTGAGTTCTTTTGTATGCTTGAAAAAGTGAGGACAATGTCTTGTAGCTCCTATCGAGAGTGCAGCCTTCTTTGCAGTCATAACAATAGACATCTGGTAGACAAAAGAGAATTCTGGTAGAAAAGCCGCTTTTTACATGTGTTTAGAAGTCCCCGTGTAAGTCCGTTACATCTGCAAAGTCATGACGACGAAGACGCTAAGGAACATCAAGCATTTTAGCTACAGGGAACAATATACCTACTTCCGAAATACGGAATAATGCCTGACCACGCAAAGATGTTAAGACAAGGACAGACCAGCAAAGCGATGGTCACTGTGCCTCCTACAGCAGTCGCTTTCGTTCAGGGAGCCATAGACTTTACGCACACCACCATGTTAACATGTGGAAGCCTGGTTCAAGGGATACGACTGGTTAGCCCTAAGCCAATTCTGGGACTACAAAGGGAAGCTTCACTGCGTATATTTTGCTCTTTATTGTGCCGTCAGGACCTCTTTCATAACACAGAAACCACTCCGACAAGTTAGGATCTCTTTTCGCACAGCACTACTAGCTTAGTTTGTATCGATTGCAGAAAGCCTTTTGAGATATGTGGACAACTGTAGAACTAGAAGTTAGGGACGTTCACCAATGAAGTGGCCTATGCTAAACCAGATATACTTGGGGAAAAGACTATTCCACGCTGATAAATACACTTAAGCACCAACGTGTTCAGTAACATGCGCCGCGCCTTACCGGGATTGTCAATGAACTTGGTGCAGTGGTCCCGGTCATACATATTGACTGATAATTACGGCGCTGCCTAATACAAGTTTTGAACGCAGTCTTTTTTTGGGGCAGCACCAAATGTGTTGAAAGTGTCTGCTTTCCACAATATATCGACTACTCACATAAAACTACTCACATAGAGCAGGCTTAACCAGGGTTCCTGTAAAGAAGGTAAAAACCTTCCTGAAGGATAAGTCATTGTCTTTGGTAGCAGCAGATAAGGAGGGAGGTTTTGTTATTATTCCGAATGAAATCTATAAGAAAAAAGCAGGTGAAGCGCTTTTGTCTGTTTTTCAGCCCCAAGCTAATGTGTCGCTTCCGAAGGTTAAAACCTATGCAAAAAGTATCTGTAAAAGATTGAATCTTGATGGTTTGGCAAAAAAGATGGATGGCGAGAAAAACCTTAGCATGAAAATTTTCTTTAACGCGAAAACGCACAAAGTTAACTGTCCTTTTCGTGTTATAGTATCAGAGGCCAACTCGTGGCAAAAAATACTGGCACAATTTCTTCAGGGAAAACTGATGTTATTAAGCATAGACGATCCATTCCTAGCAAAAAGTTCCGATGATGTGATTTCCGTGCTGAAAGATAACAAATTTCATGGCTACCAGGCATGCTCAATAGATATTAAAGATCTGTACTACTCATTGCCACACAGTGAGCTTCTAGCTTGCATTCGTGGGTGCATTGACAGGTTTGGCGTTGTGAATTACCAGAATGCAGTAGGCATATCTGTTGAAGGTTTTATGGAACTGCTACAGTATTACCTGAGGTCGACATTTGCAGAATGGGACGATCATATTTACTTGCAACGTCAAGGGGTGTGCATAGGATCATGCCTTGCGCCCATTTTGAGTGATTTATTTTTAGCCAGCCGTGACCGTGCCATTCAGAATTGCTTGGGATCCACATCTGTTAAGAGAGTATTCCGCTATGTTGACGATTTCCTTGTGTTGTTTCAAGCTGGAACCTCCTCGGATGGTCCGCCTTTGACTAGTATTTTAGAAATTTTCAGTAAGTGTCTTTCTCCGCTTGTTATAACACATGAAGTTCCGGACAGAGGAGCCATCAGGTTCCTGGATTTAATGTTAACGTTGAGTCCATCCCACGTGTGTTGGGCCTATGAGCCACGCGCCAACAAGCCAATCCTCCCTTTTGGTTCAGCGCATTCGAAAGTGGTGAAGCGCGCTATTGCTAAGACTTGCTACACAAACGCTTTGCGAAAGTCTTGCTATCACACAATTCCGTCCAGCTTTAATAAGCAAACTAAACGCCTTACAGAAGCTGGTTTCCCGATGTACGTTTTGACCGCCGTTGCTGAGTGTCTACTCAGAGAAATCAGAACGAGCCCAGAAAATAATGCTCAGAACCGTACAAAGGATAAGGGACGTGGGAAACGAAACTTCGTCGTTATTCTCTATATTCACGGCGTCACCCACAATCTCAAAAAAGTAGCCAGCAGGTGCGACGTAGACCTGGTTTTTTCTGCCCCAGAAAAACTGGCTAGGTTGTGCAGAGCCGTGAATCCTGGTTCGAGGGGCGAGCGAGGCTGCAAAGTCAAGCATCGAAAGAAGTACGTTCCATGCATTGAAGGAGTGGTGTACTCACTACCCCTGTCTTGCGGCAAGTGGTACATCGGCCAAACAGGCAGGTGTTTAAATGAGCGGCTGAAAGAGCACGCTCACAACGTCTCCTCTACAGTTTCGGGCCATCTCGGCATTCATTGCCGAGACTGCGGCTGTGTCCCTGTGTTTCAGCTTTGTACCGTCGTTAGGCGGCATCGGGACCATTTGATACGTGAAATTTATGAGGCTTCAGAAATAGAAAGGCTGGGCAGTGCATGTGTCAGCAGGCCTTCGATTGCGCTATCATTAAAACAAATAGATTTCCTTCGGCATGTTAGCACACGTGCTGCTCATGGTGCGTTGTGAAGATGACTATGTGGTTGTTAGGTGGATTCTGTTTTGTTTGTTTTGTATTTTCTTTTTTGTTAGATACTGACCAAGTATATATTGTGCGGTTCTGGCAAATAAATCTTGTTGTATGTTCAGTGCCGCTGTCTGTCTCCTTCTTTTTCTAGTCTCTCGTTATTGGCGCTGTTTTTTATGTGAATCATGTCGTACCAACTCGCCCAAGCAACCACATTAGATATCGACTACGTCTTTAATCATTGTCTTTGTACTGTAGAACAGCACCGATT